CTTCCTGGGAGCCTCTTGGAGGCCTCAGGGGGGCCTCGTGGGAGCATCTGGGACCGTCTTGCTACACGTTGGGCCCCCAGGGCTGCCTCAGAGGCTGGATTGGAGGCTTGCCTGGGCCGTTCTGGGTGCCCTCTTGGAGCGCTGCCGGGCCGTCGTGGAGGTCTGTTGGACCGCCTGGGGCCCGTCCAGGGGACCTCTCGGCCCCTCTCGGGAGTGACTCGAAGGCCCCTGGCGCCGTTCTCGGCTGTAGGAAGCCCGAAGAGGCGAGAAGTCGAACGTCGTGGAACAGCTCACGTAAACGCAGAGCACTTGACCTGTTCGGGGCATCCCGAAGGGCGCCCGACTGGATGCGCGGACATGTGTTTTTACCGTCTTCGATGTTACCTCACCCTGCGCTCGCTCCATCTCTTCCGCCTCCTCGCAGCCTATCTCCCCGCCTCCTCCACTACGCCCCTCGCGCCCCTTCCTGACTAAGTCTCCCCCCCCTCCCCCGCCGCCCACCCCCTCCTCCCCCTCCACTTCCTTCGCACGCGTGAGCGGACTCATTGCGGGCAGAGAGAGAGAGAGAGAGAGCGAGAGATTGAGAGAGAGAGAGAGATGAAAGAGATGACACAGATGAAACAGGTGAGACAGATGAGACAGAGGATGGATGGGGGGAGGGAGGGAGGGAGGCGACGACGACGACGACGAGGTCGATTACGACGGCGACGACGACGACGACGACGACGACGACGACGACGACGACGACGGGGGCGAGGCCGACGAGGACGGCGCGGCGAGGGCGATAACGAAGAGGGGGCCGCGCCCGCGAGAGCCTCTGAGCGGCGCCCCCGAGGAGCACCTGGAGGTGAACAGCCCCATCACCTCGCACTCGCGCCTGAAGGAGCAGCGCGGCCGCCGCGGCAACCTCTGGGGGGGGTTCCTGGCGCCGCCGCGAACAAGGGGCAACGTCAGGGGGGGATAGGCTCAGGGGGGGACGCATGGACCCCCACTGTTCGTAAGTTTTCTCCACATTCCCCTGCGTTTTCGGAAATTTCCGAGGCCCAGGGTGGTTTACATCAGCTGCGCTGCGTCGAGAGCGTTCCAGCGGTGCCCGGATCGTCCCGAACGACCACTAGAGAGCCGAAGTATCGGCCGAAAACCTCCAGGGGCAATGTTAGGGGGGAGGGGATAGGCTCAGGGGGGGTACATGGACCCACAATCACCCATTGATCGCCGACAGGGGCCCGATGGCTTATCCCGCCCAGGAGCGTGCGGATTCGCTGTCGGGATCCTATCGCCGATCTATCGGTGACGCATCGCCGATTCCGGCTCAACGTTGCCCATGTGAGCGGGTCCCCCCCTACTGACGTTGCCCTTCATGGAGAAGGAGTAGGTTGACGGCTGCCACGGGCGCGCATTGGCCTTGAGCGCGCCGGTGGCGACGTGGAGGAGGAGGAGGAGGAGGAGGAGGAGGAGGAGAAGGAGGAGGAGGAAGAGGAGGAGGAGGAGTGCATTCCGCTCGATGCATTCACACGTATGTAGTGCGGTCAATCCGAGGCAGCCCGGTAAGTGTGGCATGTGTTTTCAATCCATTTTGCATTCCCGGCGATGGGTTGCGTTGCGTTGCGCTGGGGAGGTGGATGGGGATAGGGGGCGTATGGGGTCGCAGTCCAGGCTCCCGCCGTATGGAGGACGCCCGGACTGCGACCCATGTTGATGTCGTCCCACTCGCGGCCCAGCCCGCGACCCACCCGCGACTCGGGCCGCAACCCCCCGGCGACCCACTCGCGACCCACCCGCGACCCACCCGCGACCCACCTTGCGACCCACCCGCGACCCGCCCGCGACCCACCCGCGACCGACACCGCGCCCGCCCTTCCTCTCTGGTCAGCATATTCTACAATCGCTTGCACCGCATAGCTCACACCACGTAGCTCACTGCAGATCGCTTACACACCATAGCTTACACAACACAGTTTGCACCACATAGCTTGCACGACACACCATGCACCGCATAGCTCACATCACATGACTTACACCGCATGAACTCACACTGCAACAACTCACTCTGTTTGGGTCTAAGCTGGCTAACATGTTTTGGGCGTAGTCCGACATTGTTTGTCGTGAGGTAGGCTGATCTATTAACTGTCTGGAATGTTCGCACATGTCAGCAGGCCGGTGTATGTTCGGTCGCGCGATGCGCAGCATATGGCGCAACCAACAGCCGGTCGCTGTATTTCCTAACCATATTGTGGTGTTGGGCTCTCGCTTCGAAGAGATCGCGCCCCGCGCCTTTTTCCCTCCCCTCCCTCCTCCCATCCCTGCCACTGCTCTCCGTATGCGAATTTCGGCACACCCCTCACACGCGTCATGGCTCCATCGGGAGCTCCACCGAAGGCCCCAGTGGCAGGGTCCGCATGCAGTTCCACCCACCATCTCGGCGCGGCCCTCACACGCTTCGTGGCCCCATAGGAAGCTCCACCGAAGGTTCCAGTGGCAGGGTCCGCATGCAAGTTCACCCCCCATCCTGGCGCACGCCTCACACGTTGCGTGGTCCCGTAGGTGGCTCCACCGAGGGCCCCAGCGGCAGGGTCCACACGCAGTTCCACTCCCAAGTCGGCACGCCCCTCACCCGCCACGTGGTCCCATTGGGGGCTCCACCTGAGGCCTCCGTGGCAGGGTTCGCACAGTTCCACCCCCCACTTCGGCGCACCCCTCGCGCGTTTCGTAGTCCCGTGGGGAGCTCCAGGGCCCCAGATCTCGCTGTCGCGCGGACTTGGGTTGACATGTGGGAGGCGAATGGGCGGCCTGCTGACACGCGCAGCAGAAGCATCGATGATCTCGCTGTCGCGCGGGATGTTGAAAGCGTGGAAGGAGAATGAGCGGTTCATGCCAGACGCGGGTGGCCAGGCGCCAGAGTCTGCACGGCCTGTCGAGGAAAACCATGGGCAGCTCGCTGGTAGCTTGCCAGCGGACAAGCAGCTGGTTTTGGCGGAGCTGCTTGCGTCACAGGCTGGCATGCAGGTGCCGCGGAGTGCGTACCGCGGCTTCCACCAATGCAGCAGGTTTATCGGCGATCGCATAGCTGCGGCCCAAAGGTGATTGGACTCAATGTTATCGGATGCACCTTTGCCGAGGGAGTGCACAAGCAGGTGTTATCCCGAGTGGCAGGGTCCACATGTAGTTCTACCTTTTCATTTCGGCACACCCCTCACACGTTTCGTGGCTCCTGTAGGGAGCTCCATCGAAGGCCCAAGAGGCAGGGTCCGTTGGCAGTTCCCACCCCCCACCTGGGCGCACCCCTCACAAAGTTTCGTGGTCCCGAAAAGCCAAGACGCTGAAAGAAGGAACGCTCTGGGTCGGAAAGGGCTCGGGGATTTGGGTCGTTTCTTAGATTTATGTCGCGGGACTTGCTTGTGGCCTAGGCCCACCGTGGCCAGAAAAGCCCCTTTGTGTCTTATTTGGCGTTCCTTCTGGTAGTTCCTCGACTGGAGGTAGCTCCACCGGAGGCCCCAGTTGCAGGGTCCGCATGCAGCTCCACCCCCCCCATGTCGGCGCACCCTTTCACACGTACACGTGGCCCCGCAGGGCGCTCCACCGAAGGCCCCACCTGCCCTGCGGTACACGCACCCGCGCATGGCTGGGTCCATCGCCAGGATCGTTTCGACTGCCGAGTGCGGAGCTCAAGCCCGGCATCGCTCGGACGCGTGCATTGTTTCTCGGCGAGAACCCTCGAGGGCCATCCTGGACCATCGAGCACACAACACACACGCGCGAGACCGAGAAATGGACGTCCGAGCGACGGCACGTCAGGCGCAACCAGCAGCAGGCTGGTTCGTGTTCGGCAGCCGAGTGAGCAATCTATGGCGCGACACGTGGCCGTCGCAGCCTGCGGCGCAACCCGCGGATGGCGAAACCTGCAGCGCAGCCTCTAAGCTTCGCAGCACATGGCGCAATCCGTGGATGGAGCACGCCTCGGCGGGGTCACTGGGCTATGCCAGGCGTGTGCCTGCCACTCAGGCTGGCGGTGGGGCCGACGCGGCGGACCATCTTTTGATTGCTTGAGTCGCCGCACAGGGCTTGCCAGACGAGTGATGGTGTCTCCCATGTGTTTGCACTGCTGCCCCGCTTTGTTGTGAGGCATCGTTTGCGCATGGCCTGGGCAGGCACCTGTCCGGTTGCGATTGCGGCGGAGCAGGACGGGGAGGAGCATGCGCGGCACGAGGAGGAGGGAGAGCAGGAGAGGAGGCGAGGCGAGAGGACAGATCAAGCGACGAGAGGGCACGAGGATGGGAGGGGGCGGCGCGCACGATGGAACAAGAGGAGGAGCAGGCAGGAGAAGGGGCCGGAGGAGGAGCGGGAGGGGGTTGAGGAGGGCGAGGGCGAGGGCGAGGAGGGCATGATGGTGAGGAGGCGCGGGCGTGGGAGGGGAGTCGGATGCAGAAGGCAGCCTTCACCCCACTGCATCAACGACGCACGGAGTTGGCAGTGAGCTGATGTGCCTTGGCTCCTCTCGCCCGCAAAGTGCGTGCGCTGAAGGCGAGGCGACGATACCTGATTCAGGAGCCGCCTGCGAACCACCAATGACATTGCAAAGTGAACACTGATGATATACTCGTCGACTGCCCCTATAATATAATGCGATCCAAGACGGTCCGCGAAACCACCAACAGCACAACGAAGTGAACGTCGAGGAGAAATTCGGAGTTTGCAGTTGGCAACCGTCGCACTCATCGACTTGAGAGAGTGGCGCTGTGCACCACTCCTGGGAGAACACATGGCCCGCACTTGCCGCACGTGCTGCTCCGAGCCCGGTGGCCGATGTCCGCAGGCGCATCTCTTGCCTCCCCACCTCGCTCAGCAGAAGCGCCACCCGCTGCATGCACTGCGCCGGGCCAGACGTGGTGGCCCAAGCACTCGCACGTGGAACCGTGCCGAGGAGCCACGCCGCTGGCCGAGTCGCCACCAACTGAGAACAGGCCACTGCTGGCGCGAGCGTGGGCCTCTTGGGGGAGCTGTCGTCATCAGAAGACGCAGGCAAGCCCAGAACGCAATACCTCGCGTTCGCCCCACTGCACCCGTGTCGCGGCTGACCTGGTGCCCCTCAAGCGCCGCGTGGAGGCGCGGGGCGCGGTACCATGACGTTTGTGAGCCCAAAGGGATCTACGCGCCCTGAGGGAGCGGATGTGGAGGACAAGGGAGGCGAGACAAGGAGGAGAAGGAGGAGGGGGACGAGACATGTGTGAGGTGTGTGAGGGGGAGCAGCACGAGTTGGATGAGTCAGCCCTTCCCGTGGGCAGCACGTGCGAGCACGAACTTCCATGACGTTCGGGTGCCCATGTGATGGAATCGCCTCGCCGGGTCTGCCAATGAATCGCCCCACCCACGGGCTGCTGTCCGGGGCAGCGCACAGCCCAGACATGTTCACATAGTCGGTAGCAAAACACACCTCGCCCGCTATTCGACATATGGGGGATGCTGTGGCCGAGACGTTTTGAGAGCTCGCGGGTCTAGACTAGGCGTGGGGCCCTGGAGGGGCCCCAGCCCTTTGTGTCCCTCGTGTTGGCCCCTGCGGGCGCCGTCCTCCGTTTGTCTTCCCGCGTGCGCATCGCCCACTCGTTTCTGGATCGCTCGGCGTTGGAGCAGCGCTCGGCCACTTACCTCAGCAGCCGTTTCTCTTCTCCCGCGCGCACACAGACTGCGTTGTTAGACCGGGCGGGGTGGAAATAGCGCTTTGCTTCTGGGCAGTCCTTCCTTCCCGTGTCCACATCGGGCACTCGCTCGTCAGATCAGTGGAGGTTGGAATAGCGCAAACCCTTGATGAAGCCATTGGGAAGCCATCCTCTCCCGTGCCCACATCGCCCACCCGCTACCAGATCTGTCGGGGTGGAATAGCGCAAAGCTGGCGCAGCGCAGCTTGCACGGACGCCCACCTGATTGGGCCCCTCCCAGGAGGGCTTCTTCTTGCTGGAGAGCGGCTCCTCGCCGTACGCGGTGCGCCCCCCCCCCCCCCCCTGCTGCCACGCGGCGGCCGGAGCTTTCGATGACCCTTGGCTGGCGGAGGACGTCGTGACGAGATCTCGAGAGAGGACCTCGAAGTGTTTGAGGCTCTGGTAGGCTCTGTAACCTCGTCTGCCCTCGGGAGAGGCTCCTCGTGGCCACGGCGGGGTGCCCCATCGACACCTTGGGTGGAAGAAGCGCCCAGGAAGAGGTCTGGACCCGATTTCTGCCAAAGCATGCGGAGGCGGATGGCGGACTTTAGAGGGCAGGTGTTGGGCGTTGACTGAGGAATGGGGCTGGGCTCAGGGCCTGTGGCCATGGTTCCTCGGCCCCGCCTCGCCGAGAGCTCCTCGGGGGCGCGCGACGTCGCCCCCCCCCCCCCCCCACTGCGCTCCTTCGGCATGAGAGCGCGGAAGCAACGACTGCTGAAGTATGTTTTCGATGCCGCCCAGACTGGATACCGACTCCGAGGAGGCCTCCCCAGCAAGGCACTTGGATTCGGCACGAGATTGTGCTGTTCAAGATGGTGCCCAGGCTCTCCGCGCATTCAGTGACAACGCGGGGGCGCGTGAGTTGTAAGTCGGGATCGGGAATCTGCGGATTCTCAATAGAGCAATGGCGGAATTCGCACGCGCAGTATGCAATAGAGCAATTGCGGAATTCTCAGTAGAATTGCAACATCCATCCGCTGTCTTTCGAGTTGGCAGTCCACTATACAAGCAGCGGCAAGCGTCACATCATCGTTTCCCTCCGCGTGCCAGGAATATCGTATGGCCATAACGGGACTTGTGACATGGATGTTCGTGATAGAAGTTGGCGACGCCCTTCCATCGGCCTTGCCCCTGAGTGTGATATGTTGGCCAAGCTTGCTTCCCTGGTGACGCCTCTCTTCAGCCCCTTTCTCCACCCTGGGTGCACTAAGACTGGATAATAAGAATGAAGGGTACGGTGTAGTCGGTGAGGCCCAGCTTGCTGGCGGAAAAGAATTCTTAAGGAACCAAGTCGGATCTGAGCGGGTAAGTGTGGTACACATGTGCCATGGAACTGCGTCAGATTTTGATGTGTGTCGAGCTGGCCACGCACAGCTCTCCGCCCCTTCCGCCTGTGCCGCTCTTCTCCGCCCTCTGCTCTCGGAGCCGACCTCCGCTACGGGAACCGTCGGCGTGGGCGTGCACCGCGATGCCGCCTTTCCCTGGCTGGGGTCTGGGCTTCACCTTTGCATGTTCGTGCTGGCTTTTTCTGTCTGCCGGACGGGGCTAGGACGAGACGTTCCGGAACGCTCTGAGCAGGCCGCGGCGCCCGAGACATCCTCCAGAGCAGACGGATCTTAGGCATTCTCGATTGATCTTCGCCCGGTTTTATCCCTGCCTTAGCTTGGTCTTAGTCTGTGCCGCCCGAGTTGCTCGCCTCACCTCCGCTCTCGCGCCTCTCGTGCCCCTCCGCCTTCGGCCGCAGGGCGACACCTGCCACCACCCGCCGCTCCTGCTGCTGCTCCTGTCGCCCCTACGAGACGCGCCGGCGCCGAGGGAGTGGCTGGCGCGGGGATCGGGGCCCAGCGGCAGTGGCGACCACACCGCGTGGTGAGTCAGGAAGCCGTGCGATTCCAACAGCGGGCGATGCCGATTTCTGAAGTCCGCTCGGCTTCGCCCACAGGATCGCCGCATAACGCTGTCACTCGCACTTCTCGAAGTCTCAGATGCATCGCCGCGGTCTCAGAAGTCGATTTCGCTGGCGCCCGGTTTTGGGATTCGGGATGCCCTCCGAGTACGCCTCGGGCGATTGGGGCCTCCGAGGTCCCAGAACCGTGCGGTGACGCACCGCGCCGTGAGCTTGTCGGAGATTCTGAGGTCACCACGCGGTCCGTCACCGCAAGGCTATGGGGCCCCGAAAGCGCTCGGGGCTCAGCCACGCGCAGAGGGGGGTGGGGGACGGGGAGGGCTTCTTAGAAGCACCCCTGCTTCTTAGAAGGCGCGGGCCTTATCTATAGATGCAAGGCCAAAACCTTCCAAGAAGCAGCCTCCTAAGAAGCCCTCCCCCTCCCTCCACTTCCTTGTGCGCGCCGCCAAGGGGCACAGGAGGAGTTCAGCCGGCTATGCGTAAGTCGGGCATGTCCCTCTACAGGAGGAATATTCAAAACTAGTCCAAAAATAGTCTGGGGACGATTGCTCGAGCATTTTTAAAATATTTGTGGGGTATGTTTTATTTTTCGTCCAAAATCCGCCTGTAGGGGGACACGCCCGACCTGAGTGTAGCCGACTTGGGGCAGAGTTAGGGGGGGATAGCCTCAGGTGAAGATAACCCACATAAGTCTTTAGAAATCACCTGGCCAGTAGATGGAAAATAAATATCATTCGGGCGAATTTATTGACAACTCGGAAAAACGACCCCGCCAGACAATAGCGGAAAATAATTATAGTTCGGGCGGTCCGACGACGAAGACGAAGACGAAGACGATAACGAGTACGTGTGCGATTGCGACTACGACAGCGATGCGACGACGAAGACGAAGACGCATGTGCGCGGCGCTAAGGCGAGAGCTGGATGTTGAACCACACCAGCCCTCGATCCTTGTAACTGTTACAAACTTTTAAGACGATAGCGCGCGGCGCTGAGACGAGAGCTGCACTTTGAACCACACCAGCCCTCCATCCTTGTAACTGTTGCAAACTTTTCAGACGAATGCGCGCGGCGCTGAGACGAGAGCTGCACTTTGATCAACGTGCGGCCTCTATCCTTGACACTAATGCAAACTGTTCAGGCCAGAGTGCACGGCGCTAAGGCGAGAGCTGCACTTTGAACAATATGCGCGCTCCATCCTTGAAACTGTTGCCAACCTTTAAGACGAGAGTGCGCGGCGCTAACGCGAGAGCTGCACTTTGATCGACATGCGCCCTCCATTCTTGTAACTGTTTTCCTCAAAGCACCCGTCTTCCCTCCATCCCTCCCTCCATCCCTCCATCCCTCCCTCCCTCCCTCCATACCTCCCTCCATCCCTCCCTCCATCCCTCCCTCCATCCCTCCCTCCATCCCTCCATCCCTCCATTCCTCCATCCCTCCATCCATCCCTCCATCCCTCCATCCCTCCATTCCTCCATCCATCCATCCCTCCATTCCTCCATCCCACCATCCCTCCCTCCATCCCTCCCTCCATCCCTCCATCCCTCCCTCCGTCCCTCCATCCCTCCATCCATCCATCCATCCCTCCATCCATCCCTCCATCCATCCCTCCCTCCATCCCTCCATCCCTGCATCCAGCTGTCATGCGTGACAAACTCATGACGCTCAAGGGTGTGCTTTTCTTGGATTCTCAGAGAGCGTCCAAAGGTTCCTCATCCCTGCGCGCCTCACTGGGCACGCAAGGGTCCAACATATGCTCAATAAGCGTTAGTCATCGCCCTCGAGAGCCTCACGGTTAGCCACACGGCTCACGCATCAGAAGCCCCCAAAAAGATAAGGCGGCCCAAAAAATCAGTAACTGTTCTCAGTTACATATCCACGTCCTCGGGAGTCTCAGCGGCCTCAGCAGCCTCAGCGGTTTCAGCAGGGAAGAGCTCACGGTACTTGCACTTGAATGCTTCCTCAACCGCAGCGACGATCGCATGGTGGTTTGGCTCATGCACCGTGTAAATCTCATTTGCCAACCACTTCAGCGTTCCGATGATCCTCAGGTGCGGGCCCTCTGCTTGCTCAATGTTGTCGGAGTTCGTACTCACGAGGGCCCGGAGCTCAGGAGTGATCAATTTCAAGGGGATAGTGCTCATCGCCTCCTCAGTACCTCCACACGCGATGAAGAGCTCAATCTTCTGGCGGTGAAACTCATTCCCACACATCAAGTAGCGCCTCACGCCCTCATAAAAAAGGGTCTGGGAACCAAACACCAAGATGCTCTCAATGTAATTGGTGCTGCGGGGTGGCTTCACGACTTCCTCAGGAAAGTCAGGGTGGAGCCCCTCAGGGTAGATCTCAGCCGAGAACATCGGGGAACGCTTCCTCTCAACTGTCTTCATCCAGAGGTTCATGATGTCCCTGCACTGCCTCAAGGCGGCCGAGGAGGAGGAGGGGCGGAGGCGGGGAGGAGGAGGAGGAGCAGCAAGGCGAGGAGGAGAAGGAGGAGGAGGAGGAGGAAGGGGAGTCCTCATCACCCACGAGCCGTCTTTCTCAACGTCCCACTCATGGAACTTGTTGTAGACCTGACGCACGACCTCATGGCATTGCAAGTTCCCATACATCTCTCTGTACTCAAGGTGGGCCAATTTCACCGTCGTCGCCTCAGTGTGTTCCTGCTGGGCCGCACTTGCCTCAGCGACGCGCTCCATCACCTGGGGAAGAGAAGCCATGCCTCAGGCTGTGGGAAACTCGCGGAATGCCTCAGGGATGGCGGAGTTCCCTCAGGGATGGCCTCACGACTTGAGCCTCAGTGGCCGCGGCACGACCCCAAACGCAGGCACGGCTACGGCGGAGGTCTTGGATAACGAACCCTTGGAAAGGAATCCAGGGTCTCGCGACCGATGGACGGCCACCTCGCCTCGAAGCACGAAGGAACGCGCCAGGGTCTGGCCCCTCACGCCATTCCTCATCCAAGGCCCCCGCCGTATACGCTCAGGGTCAACAGCTATCCTCAAGGTCCACAAGTCTCAGGCAAGGCCAGGAGCTGTAAGACCCAGAACCCAAGCACCTCAGGAATGAGTTGTAAGACCCATAACCCAGGCGGCAGTCAACGGGCACCACAGAAAAGGCCTACAGCTTGACTAGGAAAGGCGACGGCCCCTACAATGCAAGCGCTCTCCAAAGCTTCGGACCCACAACTCAGACACGGCTCAAGCACTAACTACGACACCGAAATCCAATCACGGTGGCACGACCGCATCTCAAAACAGGCTATAACTGACCTGAACATCCACAACCCTGGCGCGGCCCTCATCTACAACTCAAACACCAGGCTGGAATAACCGCTCCTCCTTCTCTCCCTTCTCCTCCTCCTCCTGCCATCCTTCTCCGCCCCTTCCTACTCCTATCCCTCTTTTTCCCAACCCTCCTTGTGTTGGGTACTCGTTTTGAAAAGAGCACCGTGGTATCCACCTTCCGCCCTCTCCTCCATCTTCTCTCCTGTGTTCGCGGTGCCCTGCGGGGCTGCGATCTGCGCAACTGTCGCCACTTTGGTGGGTTCCGGGGAGGCCCAGCGGAGCTACGTCCTACGCAGATCACTTTGAGGCCTCCCTGTCCCTTGCGGGGCTGCGATCTGCGCAACTGTCGCCACTTTCGTGGGTTCCTGGGAGGCCCGGCGGAGGTACGTCCTATGCAGATCATTTTGAAGCCTCCCTGTCCCCAGTGGAGCTGCGATCTGCGCAACTGTCGCCTCTTTCGTGGGTTCCTGGGAGGCCCAGCGGAGGTGCGTCTGACGCAGACCACTTTGAGGCCTCCCTGTCCCCCGCGGTGCTGCGATCTCCGCAACTGTCGCCACTTTCGTGGGTTCCTGGGGGGCCCAGCGGAGGTGCGTCTTACGCAGACCACTGAGAGGCCTCCCTGTCCCCTTGGCGCACCTGGCGCACCTGGCGCGCACCTGGCGCACCTGACGCACCTGACGCGCTGGGCGCACCTGGCGCGCACCTGGCACACCTGACGCACCTGGCGCACCTGGCGCACCTGGCGCGCCTGTCGCACCTGGCGCACCTGGCGCACCTGGCGCGCACCTGGCGCGCACCTGGCGCGCTGGGCGCACCTGGCGCACCTGGCGCGCTGGGCGCACCTGGCGCGCACCTGGCGCACCTGGCGCGCTGGGCGCACCTGACGCACCTGGCGCACCTGGCGCACCTGGCGCACCTGGCGCGCCTGGCGCGCCTGGTGAAACTGGCGCACCTGGCGCACCTGGCGCGCACCTGGCGCACACCTGGCGCACACCTGGCGCACCTGGCGCGCCTGTCGCACCTGGCGCACCTGCCACACCTAGCGCAGACCTGGCGCACCTGGCGCGCCTGTCGCACCTGGCGCGCCTGTCGCACCTGGCGCACCTGTCGCATCTGGCGCACATGGCGCACCTGGCTCACCTGGCGCGCCTGGCGCAACTGGCGCTCCTTGCGCGCACCTGGCGTAACTGGCGCAGCTGGCGCACCTAGCGCGCACCTGGCGCGCTGGGCGCGCCTGGCGCACCTGGCGCACCTGGCGCGCATGGCGCAACTGGCGCGCCTCGTGCAACTGGCGCACCTGGCGCACCTGGCGCGCCTGGCGCGCACCTGGCGCACACCTGGCGCACCTGGCGCACCTTGCGCATCTGGCGCACCTGGCGCACCTGGCACACCTGGCGCACCTGGCGCGCACCTGGCGCGCCTGGCGCACCTGGCGCACACCTAGCGCACACCTGGCGCACCTGGCTCACTTGGCGCGCCTGGCGCACCTGGCGCACCCGGCGCACCCGGCGCACCTGGCGCACCTGGCGCACCTGGCGCACCTGGCGCATTTGGCGCGCCTGGCGCGCTTGGCGCGCCTGGCACGCATGGGCTTCTGGGAGGCTCAGCGGAGGT